AAATTACTTTTGTCGTGGGTTGTTCTTCGGCCAAGCTTCCGACCTCGCCGTGCATTACATTCGACTCACGCGATAAAGCGCAGAAGCCCCAATGAAACTGGACCAAGTGAAAAGGAAATAAGATTCAATTAAACGAGACAGTTAATTGGACAATCTTCTTCCCCTATTTACGGGGGAAACCTTGCGGGCTCGAGGTTGGCTCGTTCGACATTTGCAACGGTTAATACACTGGTAATTACAACTGTCGCAATTACCACGTAGTCTCCCCATCGGTTGCCTCCTATTTGGAAAATCCACAGATTCGTCCAAGGCTTCCTTGAACGATCGATCCCCGATAACGTTAATACCATAACGGCAAGTTCATCAGGAAGTTTCTGGCTTCTGAAAAATAATCGATTACTCTTGAAATATTTTTTCCTCGATATCGATCATGGCTGATGCCATTTCCCGATCGTTCCTTCTATGGCGGTGTAGCATACAGATGATTCAGACCAAGAATCCGTATTTAAGAAGGAAATAACGTTGTCCATGGGCACACGTGTCGCACAAAGGCCGATCTCCAAGTGCCTAGGCTACTACCTCGTCTACCTCGTTGCGGCCACTGCGAACCATAGCTGGCCTGACGTTCCATAAGTGTCGGACTAATTATATTCCATGGCCGGTGACCTTCGCTCGTGCCAGCTGTTTTCTAGATCTGTAAACGCACGAGAAAAACGACACTGGTTAATACCTTGTGTGTGTGGATTTTGTTCGCGTGAAAATTTATTGAGGTTTTCTTTTTCTTTTTTTTTTTGAAATTCGAACGACAAAGAAGAAGAAAAAAAGAAGGGAAGACAAAAAAAGGATCGAAAAAGGACAAGACAATTGATCGAGAGGAGCAGAAGAATATTCAACTCTCTTTTGAACTCTGTTTTAAAAGAATGGAATACAGTACGGGGAACGGGAATCGAAAGCATGCGATTCAGATCGACGCGAGTCTATGTTGTCGTTGCGTTTCGAGGCCTTTCCGAGATAATACTTGGAAAACGATTTGAAACGATGCGCGATGACTGATGCGATTGAAAATTTGCAAGAGTGAATATGCGGTGAATATTCGCGTCGCAGGGGACAGAGAAGAATAGTGGCGAAAGAGGAGGAAGAGGAGGGACAAGAGAAGGCCGCATTGAAACATTGTGGACGAGATAAGGCCGGAATTTTCAGCGCGGATAATGTAAAAACTCGGGCTACTCGGTGTTCTCGTTGTAATAATCACGAATGGGGAAGAGAAAGCTTTTAATCTTCCGCGTATAGGTTTCGAAAGACGGGGAAGGAAAAAAGTGAAAAAGAGAAAGAGATCTATGACCGGGCGAGATTGGTGTGAAGGGAGCAACGAGGGGTTGGAAAACGAAAAAAAAGGAAGGAAGGAAAGAGAGGAAGAAAGGGAAAAGAAAAAAAAGAACGGAGAACAAACAATCGTTAACCGTATTTACATAATGTTTCAACGGATCGTGAATATCGCGTGGCAGTATGACCGTGTTGCACCCTGCTCATTTTAATTAACCTATTCTGCTTTTCAGCCACCAGCTGGAAATGTAATTATTTAACTTTCGGCGCATCTTCCATTCGCTTTCCCCCGCTGAATAATTAAACCAACTTTTTTTCTCGACGCGCGTTTAGCGTACGCGCCGCTCTCTGTTTGCACCCTAGATTTCCACTCTTTTCCCCCTCGTTTTCCCCCGACGAAATTCGCCAAAACCAATAGGAAACCGAGCCGTGAAACGTGCGCCAATTATCCGATAATTATTCCACGTTGATCCGCGATAAATAGGCTTTCATCTTGATGTATCTCGTCGAGATGAAATACAAATCAAGATATAACATCTCCGAGGAGAACCGAGTTTCTTCAACAGGAATTTCTTTTCGAGCAAAAGGCAACCGATAAGAAATTGAAGGAACCGTCGTTAAATCAAAAAAAAAAAAAAAAAAAAAAAAAAGTTAATAGTTAAAACATTTCCAAAAAGCGAAAAAGAATCGAGGAAAGATTCATCTTCAGGGTGTGGTGTGTTTCGAGAGTTGGAGGAAGCAGGAAGGTCAAGGTTAAACTTTGAACACCATATGCACATATTATGGGTACAATTTCACCCTGCTGCGCGTTTCTTTCTCACTTTGTCCGCTTCCCCCCTCCCCTATTCTGTTCCCTTCTCTTTTCCCCATTCTTACTCGTTTCCGCCTGTCATCCCCCCCTTTTCTCTTCTTTTTACTTTTTTTATTTTTTTCGTCCTCTCATTCGTTTCGACAACATCTCTTTCTCGAAAGGAGGATGGAATCTATCGAAGCAGACATAGATGGTTCGTATATATCCCTTGTTCAACCGGACCGAGCTTCTTTTATTCGTCGTTTTCTATTTACGGTGTACGCTATGGTCAATCTCCGGGGACGTTGGAATGACAAGGCTACTTGGCCGGTATCCCTGTAGTATACCCTGTGTAATCTTTTTTTATTCAGCCCTCGTGCTAGTTTCGAGGATGGATGGGAAAGAGGAGTGACTGTAAAATGGCGAAGCAACTTCGGGAGAGAAAATTAATTTCACGTGCATCGAAAAAAAAAAAAAAAAAAAGACGATTTCCTCTTTATCCTTAGCGAAATTACTTGTTACCGATCGATCGTAAATTTTAGAACAAGACTTAGAACTCCGTTTCCGCGGAGAGAAAATTTGCGGAAGGAGAATAACGACGACGACGACGAATTCGATCACCTCTCTAAACTTTCCGAATTTCCAAGATCAACAGATTCCCAAGGGGAGAGCAAATTTTCCTGCTAATGACGCCAAGATTCGGTCCCGCGATACACCCACGCACTGATTACGCCACGAGAAGAACCGGAGGAGAAATAATCTCGATTTCCCAGGTCACTGTTCCTTAATGAGGCGGTCGATGTCGAGAGGTGTAAAAATTCGGTTAAAAAAAAAAAAAAAAAGAAAGAAAAAGAAAAATGGAAATCTGTGCCCTCCCGAGGGAGGAGAGCACAGAGCCGATATAATAAGAAATAGGGGCGACGCCCTCGAAGAGCGAAGAATTCGCACAGTTTCTATCGGATGCGTCTATAATCGGCCACGTTACGTGAATTTCGGCGGGTTATTCATAGACAGACCTAGTCACCCTGAGGATAATTTTATGGGAGTGTTCGAGGATAATTTTATAGAGGCATTGCCACTTCAACCGCGAGGTTGTGAACACGGATAGTCACAGGTGTTATTTTTGAACGAGCTTCTCTTAATTCTCACCGCAAACCTCCCCGGTGTTCATTACCGTGGCCCGCATTACGACGTATTTTCAATTGTTCCGAGCGTGCAACCTAATCGACGAGCATAAATCTTGCATCTCGGTTATGCGGACCTCCCTCCCCGCCGCTAATCGATACGTCCGATCTATCTTGCTTCGAGACTAACTAACTTATTTACGATGTACCGGTGCACGGTTTACGAGAGATTCCTTTTAACAGTTACACACATATACGGTGGGAATTAATTCGAATTAATATTTTCAAGAGAAGAGGGAGGATCGAAGGGAAAAAGGGAGAAGAATAAGAGAGAGAGAGAAATATCTTTTTTTTTCCAGAAGAGCGTGCAACACGCCCTTTTCAAAGGCATCCACTCCAACTAGCCACCGCCACCTTCGACACCGATAAATTGAAATTATTGGCGCGGCTCGCCGCACATTACTGGCTCGTTAGCAAGATATCGCGTTTGCGAGTCGGTCCACCCACTTCCCGCCTCGTTCTCACGACTTTTTTTTCTTCCTTTTTTCCTTTTTTTCCATTTCCAAGAGGCTCTCTGGTTACGGCTCTCCGTTTTTCCAACCATTGCACCACTGTCAGAAATGGGGAAAAGGAGGAGAGAGAAAAAGAGAGAGAAGGGAATCAACGGATCGGGAAATTATGATTCATTAAGAGCTAGATTCGGGACACGTTCGATGGTGTGTAATTTGCGATAGGGGCGCAATTTCGTTGAAACGAGAAGGCGAGCGAGCGAATGAGAGAGAGAGAGAGAGAGAGAGAGAGAGAGAG